GGATCAAGGCAACATCTTCAACAATCTCCTCCACAACATTTTTCTCCCCCTCTTTGTCACCATCAATAAGGCGAAGAGAAAGGTCATCAAGATGAGAGGAGAGGTCTTTTAGCTTGTGCTCTAAAAAGGAGAGAGCTTCAGCTTGAAGGATGTTGAATGCAGCAACCCGGTCTAGCTGTTGATGGTCAGCGTCACTGAAAGCAGGTTTAGGGACTGGCGCCGATTGCTGGAGGAGGTGGAAGATTTGCTGAAGGAGCTCAAAATGTCTGATGAGTTGAGCCTGGACTTCATCATCCTTGCTGGAGTGCAGCTACAACTTTAGTGTTGGCTTTAACTTCAGTCTGGATGGTGTTCATCAACTCCTTGACATCACGGAGCTTAGCTTTGTCAGCAGAGAGGCCATTTGTCAGGTCTTCCTTGACGACATTGCCTTGTGTACTTCATTCATTTTGTCTAGGACTATTGTGTGACATTCTGCAATTCGGAGTTTCAGGTTAGCATTTTATTATAGATCCTATATTTAGAAAATTATATTTCTCTAGGATCTGGTCTCAGCGATTTGAATTCTTCTGGCTTAGCTCCCAAGTTTTATTCGGTAGATCACGCCTTAGTGGGAGATCATATACAGTTAACTCGTGTAATGCCAAATATTTTAGAAATGCTTTTAATAAAATAAAGTTGATATTATAAACTTTTAAGTTAAAATACAAAAGTCTCATTTGAGTGTCCACTTGATTTATCAAAAGATGGAGTTTTGGATTTATTAATGCTATTATATTAATGTTTGGGCAAATTATAAAGTGGGTTTATTTGTATTAAGAAAATAAAAGTCTTGTTTGGGTTTGGGCCTTTAGAGGCCAGCCCATTTCCTTTTCTTAAAAATCCTCATATAAATACCCCTCATCCTTTGAAAACTCTCATTTTCACGCATCGCCAACTTAAAAACTCTTCATCTCTCTCTAAGAGCAAACACTCTCCAGCCGATTCCATCTTCAAGCAAGAAATTCTCTCAATCTTGAAGATTCTTCAAGATTATAAAAAGGCATGATACTAGTTATTTTACTTTTGTAAAACATCATAAGTTTGCATCTTCTTTCTTCCACATCTTGTTCTTATAGTTAAAAAATTTCCGAAGAACTAAAGAGGGGAGATTATTCATCAAAGACATGAAAATGTCTTCAAAAAGAATAATAATCTATGATCCATGTTCTTTGAACTCCAAAGTGGGAAGAAAAAAACTCTTTGCATGTGAAGCTTGAGCATGATAAATTTAGTTTTGAAGTGATAAATCTTGCATGCATCTTTAATCTATCCTATCTTTATCAAAAAACTCAAAGGAATCGGGAGAGATTTTTCCCTGGAGATTTAAATTTATTTTTCTAGCTTGAAAATGGTGTTAAAACTTGGAAAATGATGAGTTCGATCCCAAATGACTGCCACTCGGTGAGCGTGCAACCTGTTTCGGGGGCTGTGTAACTCAAGGTTATAGGGTAATGATGAGGAATTTAAACCCACTCAAACATCTTGGTATTTGGAAATAGTCGGCTGAGCTCATTATTTTTTTTAAGGATGTGACAAGTTGGGCATAAAATGACTTCTGGAAGGTTCCTATTTTTGGAGTTTTGTGAAACCCAAAAATACTTGGAACATAATTTATAATCTGTCCAAAAATCAGCTTTTGAGTAAATGATTTTGATTTCTTTTATTTTAGATAAATTTTGGGCTGTCTTTAGATTAAATAATAAAATATCAACCTTATTTCATAAAAATCCGATGGCATTACATGGGATACAACTTGACTCTATATTCGTCAAGAACCCATAGGTGATCTGAATGTTGGATGTTGGTCTATTTAGGAAAGCAAGGCAGGCATTGAGAGCTTCAGACTCCGTTCTCTTGGATATTCATCATCAAACCAGTGAGTTCTCACGGCCCCACTTTAATGTTTTTAACTTTTTAATTGGGGGAGAAGCATGGGAATAAGCAAACTTTGCATGTTTATTTATTGAAACCTTTGGACTAAGGAACTACTTAGTCAAGCTTTGTTTGAAACCTTTGGACTAAGGAACTGCTTAGTCAAGCCTTGTTTGAAACCATTGGACTAAGGAACTGCTTTGTTTGAAACCTTTGGACT